CTGTTGCTACCAACACAGAGAATGGAGGACAGTGGCAAAAAGGAATCCAACCACTAAAGTTAGCATCACATTCATACACAGGACAAGGACACTAACCACAAAATACAGAGAAAGTATATAAACCTGAATACAAAGACAGTATATTTAGAGATGTTAGGTTAAGCACTCAGTGATAAACACCACCAACCTTAATTCTACCCCTTTACACATAGCCATTATAATCATCCAATTACATGACAAGGCTTGAGGCTATACATTAAATAAAAAAAATAAAAAGATATACACCTGATCTTGGCCAAAAGGCTGAGAAGCAATTTCTTAAGTTAGTTTCTTAAGAAACAGACAATGAATCCCACAAGCATCATTCAATTGACAACCTGAATGAGGCAAGGGTCTTTAAATATGCCATTGCATGCTGCTTTTACAAGACCATATAACAATGCATACAAACAAAAGAGGGAAAGTAAGGTTCAAATGGAAAACTTTAAATTTTGGAGTTTCCAAACTTGTCCATGCTTGACTGAGATTTCTTTCCTATGTTACACAACTTAAGAATGCAAAAACCAGGCTTCACACTTAGTCTTTGAATGTAACAAAACAAATAAGATGTTGTCCTCCTGTTGACAAAACCCAGGAAATCAAATAGGAGGTTGGTGCCTGCTTGTTGCTCCAAGAATGTGCAATGTAACAAACACATACAAGAGTGAACACTTCCCTGTTTATGCTACTGCATGATTGATAGCTTCTTTCGAACAGGTAAGGGTCTGCAGAGTTCTTAGTATTTTTGTAATGCTAGAGGAGAGGTGAAGAGGGGCAGTGCATCAGGTCAGCAAGCTGCAATTTAAACCAGCTTCTTTACCAGGTATTAGTACAAGAAACTTAAATGCTGTTGACTAACTTCCAGGTGCAAATTAAGATACTGTATTAAAACCAAGAGATATGCAAGAGCTCTCATGCTAGTTACCAGTGTCACTTGTTAATGTCCCTGCCTTTTGCTACTTCACCCTAAATCCATCCCTCCGAACCTGGACAGCTGGTCCCAGATATTAGATACACAATAGAAACCATCCTGTGAGGCAACCACCAACAACCCATAGTATCTTGCGGTCAGAGCCGAAACAACATATCAGTGATACAATGTATACCAACTTTTTCAGTTACAAAACAGGCAATTAAGCATTTTTCTATTTATATAATTGAACTGCAGACAGTCAAGCATATTATTCAGAAGAGTAAACAAAGAGTGAAAAAACAGGCAAAACTGAACAATGAAAAATGAAGTCACTAAAATTCAGATTCATGCCAAGCCCTTGTCATGAAACATCAAACAAAGACCCCTAGTGTAAGCAAACAGCACCTAAGAAGTTCAGATTGTGACAGGTTCAAGCATGAACCACGCCTTTCTACAGACTCGGGAAAAACCTCAGTATGCTACCTGGTACTACAGAATAAATAGAGGATGTCAAGGATTTGCTTGATACACTGTGCCACAGCCTCGTGTGACAGCTCTTTTTATTTTAAAGTAACTTGCACTTGTTTCTTTCACACAAAAAGCTTTCCCATAGCTTACCAGTCACAGCAAAAGCAGCACTCAAAGCTCTAATGGAGATTCACATCCCCACTCTCCTGTGGAGATTGAACACACACATATGGAGACAGACTCCCTACCCAAGAGGGTCTTATGATGTAAAAATCTCTTCAGGCACCTGCTCAAACACTGGACAAGTTCAAAGCAAACTCACAGGCATGATTTGTTTGAATGATGCTGAAACATGGAAGAGGACACCTGTTGCTCACTGACTCTGTCATCATACAATATTTCTAATGCTGCACGACCACAATAATACGTGAGGAGCCTAGAGATGTGGAAGAAAAGAAATACGAAAAATTGTGATGTAGGAGCAACTGCAAGTAATATGCCAAGGAATATTAAAATAGGAAGTATGTATGTGGACAACTGTTTTCATAATTTAAAAATAAGGACAGCAGCTTGTTTCAGATGGATGGAGGAAACAGTTCTTTTAGATGATGAAGAGCTTGTTAGTAATAAAGGCAGCAAAGAAAGCAAAAATTAAAATAACTGAAGTATAAGAAGGATTGAATAAACAATGAAGGAATCTAACAAAAGAAAAGAGAGCCTACTGAAGGAAATCAAAAGCACTGAACGAGAGAGCCCCTTACCTCAGCTATTTGACAAAAAGCAAAAGCTACCAAATTATTCAGAAACACAGGTAGAAAAATCTTTACCCCAGAACTTCACTTAGCTTGAACAGAATAAAAGCGAGGATCTCGTATCTAGAAACAAACCAAAGAACTGAAAGCCGATAATGGTATATTTAGAATGTGTCAGCTCTTCTCTTATACCACCTGGTAAACACAGAGCCATGCGGCATACCAAATACTCTAAAATTCAGCCCCTACAGGACACTGAAAACTCCAGCAACTGACTGAACTTATTCCTGTCTCCTAATACTGATAGACTTGATACAAATAAATAATTAAAATGAGCTCACCAGGCAACTGTTTGATAGAGTGGAGAGGGTTACTATAATTATACTCACTTGAGTCCTCCCATCTGAGAAGATGCAGCTTCCAAGCAGAGTAATAAAGGAATCCCAGCACCAGAAAGAGACAGAGGGCTAGCAGCAGGTTACGCATAAACACCAGCAGTCCCATCTTCACATTAAATCTGCTCTTCTACATGACCTGGAGGAGAAACACAGTTTGAGGCTCGAACCATCTAGCTCAGCATTCATCCTTTCAAGAGCAAGTGCTACACAAATGCAAGAAAGCAGTGACACAAGTCAGGATTCTCCTCAGTGAGGCACATGATCCAGGGTGTTGTTTCAAGCAAACTTATCTTGGTCGTGATCACAAATGTCATTTTAGAGAACTCGTAGAAGACAGCACCATTATGAGGCAGCAGTTTTGTTTATTAGGCTCGTACAACCAGTCCCCTGCATAAAATACCCCCTCAGATTATGACAGCTAACAAGACTCCGAGCAGACTGAGCTTTCCTCCTACTAAAGAAGTGCAGAAGGGCATCAACAGCAAAAAGACAACAGAAGTTACGTTATTATAGTGTGTGGACCAACCAGCTCCATTTACCTGGACTACTCCCACAGTCCTGCCCCAAGCTTCTTAATTAACAAAGTATCTGAAAACTCACTTGCTTATAATTTAGCTTTATTAGCGTTACCAGCAGGAGGCAGCACAGAACACCGCTTGAAAGGACTTTGACAGACGTAGTTGCGAAACACGTTTAAATCAATATAACGGTTTTCCTTAGACACGCTATACCAATAGAATGGTTAAATTAGATGGGAAATGGAAATAACTGGAAAAATGGAGGGTTCAGAAAATGGGCAACAGGAGGCAGAGAATGTCACCTCTAGGAAATCAGCTTGATCAAGTGACCAGACCTCTTCACTATCCAAGGGCCATTTGACAACCTATATGAAGCAAGTTGATGCACAATAACCTGATGGAAAAAATGTGCAAAAATACCAAAACATACCAGAACAATTAGCAGCCTTATTGATAGCCGCAGCAGATAGGGCACAGGTTGGGCAGACTGTAAAATGGAATTTCCCATTTCTTCCCTAGAGATAGGCTCTGTAAGGCAAAGACTGAAGCACCTGAGCACAGCAGCACGGGGAAGGCTGCTAGCAGTTTGTGACAGAAGGCACATGACTAGCACACTGCGTGGCCCCGCTGAGGATATCCCCTGGGGGAAACGAGGTAGTCACCTTCTCAACATCTCACGCTAAGTGACTGCAATCAAACGTGTCCTTGGTTCCAGCTAAGCAAAATTAAAACATCCAAGATGCTGAATCAGCCACTGCCCGTTCAGGGGAAAAGGAACGTGGATGCACTTCTGTGGGTAGGAACACGCTGACAGTGACTAATACAGGTCGTATCTGACACCTACCAGCCGCAGGCTAACATAAAAGACAAGGGCAGTGCACGGGAAAGCACTGCGAGAGACACCTCACTACCCCTCTCAGCAATGGGCTTGGCCGAGCTGGGCTTCGTACGTGGCTCGCACCCCTACACCTCCCCAACGGCAACCCTGCCTCGTGTGTCACGACTTCAGGAATCAGCATCTGACATGTTTTCAAGCTGTTTTCCCAGGCACTGGTTTCAAGCATAGTTGGCCACGCCAGGGAAGTCCTGCGCTGCCATCCTGGAGACCGGACCGTGATCATCAGGGTGCCCTCCACGAGCAGTCCCACAAACATGCGCCTGGAGAGAGGGGAGGACTCCTGTCCTGGCTGGCCGCACCATACACATCCAAGCCCCCGCCGGCACCGATCAGTACCCCGTGCTCATCCACAGGAATCCCGCTCCTCCCCTCCCCGCCAAGCCTCCGTAAAGGAGACGACTACAGAAACCCCACCCTGAGTGCCTCATCCAGCAGCGCCGAGGGATGCACCCATCCGCCCAGCAGCCGCGGCAGGCGGGCACCGCTCGAGAGGAGCTCGGCATGCCCCAGGAGTATGGGGAGCCAGGGGCATGAGCCAGAGCTCATGGAAACGCTTCTCTTCCACACGGGCGGCTAGGGTCTGAGGCACACTCCCGGCACAGGCAGTGCGATCGCCAGCCCTGCTGGCACAAGCACCTGGTCCAGCTCATCAAGGCCCGATCCCGTCCGGCCCACCCATGACGGTTGTGCAGGGCGCTCCAGCCTGTCTTCATGCCACTCGCTGCCGCTGCCAGGGAACACAGGTGACCGGAGCATCCAGCCGTCCTCCCTGTGCCAGAGCCTGTGCTAGGGTTTCTAGTTAGCACTGCGGCAATGCCGGGGTGACCGTGACCATGACCGTGAGGGGACGTGTCACCTCCTCGGGCCTCCCTACCGGGGCCAGCCCCGCCCAGCCCGGCCCGCCGTGCCCCGCGCTGAGCTGAAGGAAGGCGACGCTCGAGGCCGCAGGACGGGACGGAACGAGGTGGCGCCCAGGCCAAGGGGACCCCCCCACCCCC